AGATTGTTTTCGTCCTCAAAAATATGTTTAAAAATATAACAGAGCTATGCTCAGGAACTAAGTATGAAAAACCTCTTGATCACTTATTTGCATTTTGTAGAGTTTAAGCTTTTTAGCGTTTTCTCAAGCTGTTAGTTACTTTACTTGTCCTCAATCCATTTAGGAATTTCTTTCGAGCTTGGCTTGATGAATATCGTTTTGGTGCATATTTAGGCCTATGCGAAGGGCTTTGTTAGGCCTGTGTTTCGCCTTACTCACAGTGCTGGGGGCGGGGGGGGTAGGGAGGGGGACAGGTAATGATTTACTGCGTTCACAGTATTTATGGCAGTGAGCATTTTTCTCATCTTGATCGTATTTCTTAAGAAAAACTATTTCGTCTTCATCATTGTAATTTCCTCCAAGTTTCTTATCCAAATTCGTTGTGGCAAACTCTGGCTGAGTACTTTTCGTGAAAATGCCGTGCATTTCTCGACTCTTTACTTAGAATTTGGCACCGTTGTAAATCTCGACCAGTATCACTTTTACCTTTTCTTTATTACCTACGAGCACCGAGGGAGGACTATGCCTTTGCTCGGCTTTCGTTTACGAGCACGCGAACACCAAAAGCTGAAATACCTCATTGTTTTCGTCCCTTGAGTATTTGGCGTTCATTCATTTTTTCACAACATAATTAATGGGGCATAACTTTGCTCTGCGTCCTTGAACTGTGGAGCTGCTAAAAAGCAGCCCTTACTGCCCCCGTTTCTAGCAAGTGCGCTATTGAAAGTTCTAGTGCAATCTGTTTTGAATTTGGAAAAAGATTACCTTGCTCTGTGGGGTATGAGTCGCATTTGTGTATAAGTCACGCTTTTGCTCTGAGGGCTGAAAGTACTTTTCGAGGTTTCCGTTTCAGTTTCGAGTTTTCCCCCTCATTTCTTTTTCTTGGTTTGTATGCACTTTCAAGTTTAAGAAATGCTAGTTTAGCTTAATTTCTTTTAAACGCGGCTAAATCTCCATGCATGCTGCCAAATAAACGCTAATAGCCTACAGGAAGGAGTAACTAAGTTCGAGATTTAGTAAGTCTTTGATCCGTCCGTTCGGTCGTTTTCTTGGAAACAATAACGCAGAAAGTCGGTGGCACCCCGAGCTTCGGGTCGGGGGCGGGGACGAGGGGTTGGAGCATTTTGCTTTTTTAGCTAGTTCCCATCGACATGTCAACCCATCAAGCGGAGACCTATGGAATGTTTGAACTCACGAAATCATCGGCCAAAGTTTATAGGGACCACTTTGTCGTCTCTTGAAAAAGACCTGCGCAGCTCTTTAGAATAAGTGCTACGAATCCCATAGAAAAGGACGGCATTGCTAGGTGGTGGCTCCGACGAGCTAGTTCCTTCGCTTCATAAGTGTTGGCAGGCTTTTCACACACAGACTCGAGACCTTAAACGGAACTATTGAAGAAGCAGCTAACAGTGCGAACCCATGCAACCCGCGGCCCCGTGCTTGGCGCGTAACTTCGCGCGCCGAAATGGTGTTCGTCAAATCGGCGATGTTGTTCGTGTTCTTCCGGTGATTTTATTCTGATTTCTTTGAAGAATCGTAAAGCCCAAGGAGTTTACAACGTGCTCAGACAACATACTGATAGCGAAAATAGGCAACTCGCCGACAAATTCATCCGGACACCTTCTCGCAGGTGGTAAGTGCTCTATTTCCTGCATGAACTGCAGTAATTGTTCAATCCGCACAACATCGAGATCGAATGTTCGGCAGAACAGAGCCTGATTATTACAAGCAAGTGAAATCTCCGATAGATTTCACAAGAATTCAACAAAAACTCAAGACCGAAGAGTATCAATCATTCGAGGAATTTTGTGAAGATGTCGAACTCCTTGTTGACAATACGAGGACATATTACAAAGTATGTTCAAGTGTTGTTTTTTGCATGGTTTTGGCTTATTTGTCGTGACTTCTCGCCACTGAGAGCCTTGGAGGGCGCATTGGCAGGCAACTCCGGTGTCGTGACCAACTGGGTATCGAATAGATAACTCCTGCACAAAAATATAACACCCAAAAAAAAAAAAAAGAACATTCAGCTTCTGTCTTGAAATATTTTGGCAAATACAAATATTCAGAATAGGAGACTGTTTGCTAATATGCAGCAACACTCAAGCTAAGCATCAATAAAGCCGGAATGGTCGTGACCCATCACGCCCATACCATGCGCCTCACGGAGGCGCCTGACCTTACGAAATACCTACCACCCGACTCGTTAGCATACGCGAAACACGACTGTACTTGGGACTGGTTCATCCACCCAGGACCACCCAAGGTCTTCAAGCTTGAGCACGTCCTCTCTTCACTGCAGTAATTCTATTTCTGCACTCTGAGTCCTCTAAGTGCTCCCGTTTATCCGCACCTAATTTTCTGATTGATTTTACGTTAAGCTATTTCATCAAGGCTTGCATGAGTATCTCTCTATTTTGGATATTTAGGAGGAGACGGAGGAGCACAAAGCAGCTGTAGAGCTCTAGAAATTTACAAGGATGCTAGAGAAAAGATCAGGAAAGGAGAACCTCTGGAAAAAGAAGTCAATGATGGAGATCCTTCGAGTTCTGGATGTCCAAGTCCCCTCAGTTTAGTGAGGTATGTTTGCTTCCGGATCATTGTTTACCTTTTTTATTCAATTCGTTGTGCCATATCTTCTACGGGTGGGTATTTAAGGTCAATCTCTCCTGCACCGAGTTCCCGAGCATCATCGAATGGTTCCTCGGATGAGGTAGAAACCGAAATGGTGGAGGATATTTTGTGTGCGTTGTTGGAATTGACAGATTCCACAGGTCGCCTGATTTCACCGCCTTTTCGAGTTCTGCAAAGCAAGGAGGTGGGAATGTCTGCTCATTTCTGTGGTTGTAACATAAGTGAATTCGTGTGAATTCTATTGTGGACTACTTCTAGGAGTTTCCTGTCTATTATGAGAAAATTCGCCATCCAATGGATTTAAAAACGATTGCTGAGAAGGCTAGAGCTGGTATATACAAGCGAATGTCTCAAGTTGAGGCGGATGTTCGGTTACTTTGTCGGAATGCACAGGTAAGCAAACACGCTCCTAACAGGCGCAGTTCGGTTTGGGAGGGAGAGGGGGATTTTGCACTTTCGTTACTTCCCATCGACGGGTAGAGCCGTCTAGTAGAGATTTGTGAGGTCTTGCGAAACCACGGACTGTTACCACTAAAAGTTTTGAGGGACCACTCGCCAGCTCTAATAGAGCAATGAACACAACGATGGAAGTAGCAAAATCGCGAATTGCCCCCTCCCCCTCCCAAGCCGAACTACGCCCTATTGACATAACTTGTTTTCTTTGATCAGCTTCCTCTATATATGCTCACTTTTGCAGGTATTCAGTGGAAGGCGAGTTTAAATCTTTAAAGATGCGCGCGCTCATGCGAATTGATGATCCTTTTCTTCGAACGGATAATGCGCGGATCAGGCTGGAAAGCGCGCGTGGTTCTCTAAGCGGTTAGTCCCTATGAAAATATCAAATTCAATATCCAGCTTGAAAGGATTCATTAGTGTTACTAACTAGTGATTTCAGCCGAGAAAAAGTCCATCGCGCAGTTGACGGGCTTCTTATACAAGCAGCACTCCCAGCAACGTCTGAACTCTCTGAAGATTCTGAAGAGGATGAAGATACTGAAGAAAGTGAAGTGAGTAGTTTTGGACAAATATTACGCTCCTTTCGGCTAGGAGGGGACATTTGGCACTATGCTGCTTCCCGTTGCCACTTCGTGGCTTCACCAGATTTCACGAATCTCTACTTGTGGCTCAACGACAAGTGGGAAGCAGCTGAAGTACAAAGTGCCTCCCCGATTGCCCAACTACGCCCAAGATTCGCAAGTTCGTTACGCTTTGTTGCTTTGCGACTGTTCACTCTTTAGCACCCACTTTTTGATCTGGTTTGGTCGGAGTTCTTCCCCGGCGGTAGTTTGGTGCAGTTTTGGCCTAGGAGTGATTTGACTCTCAAAACGATGTTAGATTTACTTGAGCGGGAACGTCTGGTGGCCTCGTCGCAGACCAGTCACTGCGAGCCGGTTTTCGGCGTTGGTCCGAGTGTTCCAAGTGTTTTAACGCAAAGCCAATGCGATATTCGTGTTCAGGGGCAAAACAGGGATCGATCATGTGACCAAATCTACCTCAATTCCGTTTTTTTTTAATTTTCTGGGAGGAATTCTGATCGAGATTTGGCCTGCATTTGTTGTGGGATAGCGATATGTACAGCCTTCTCTACGCAATATGGGGCGTGTCCGTACGGCTACGTTTGGCGCGCTGCCAGCTTTGCTGAAGGTGGTAAGTGACAGCAACTGGTGGAAAACGACCCATACGAACAGTGTTTTACAGTCCTGTGACTGTCGAAGAAAGGTTTAAAACGGGTTAGCGCCGCGCCAAACGCTGCCGCGCTGACACGCCCCATCATCCCCAGCGGACGTGACTATAACTACCGCCATTGATTCTATTGTCAGAAAATGCGTTCTGTAATTAAGGATCCTCTGTGGAAGCTTTATTGGACTGTTCGTAACGCCCCGAATGAAAAGGATCGCGAAACGAACCTCTCTGATCCATTCCTCGAACTGCCTAGTCGAAGGTATTTTTTACCTACTTTCGTTGGTTATATAGCCTCCTGCGGTTGTCCGATGAATTTAACTAGTATGATTTGTTACTTTCAGTTATTATCCTGACTATTTCGATGAAATATCTCGTCCAATGTCTTTGTTTATGATAAATAAAAAGCTGAAGAGAAATGATTACAAAACGTTTGAGGAACTATTCAAGGATTTCATGCAGGTTCGATTAGAGTGTACAAAAGTTGTCACGAATTAGGTGATTCGAAAAAAAATGCTGGATAATATTTCTAGGTATTCGAGAATGCTTGTGAATATAACATGGAATCGTCTGACATTTACATAGCTGCACAAAAATTACAAAATCTCACGATTCGAAAGGCTCGTGAACTTCAGCCGAGCCTTGATCTCTCGGCAAGTGTTGCCCTCTCTTGTTTCTTTTCGTCTTAACGTGACATTGATGCTTTGCGAGTGTGGAGAGCAGGGCACGTTGTGCGTTTGGGATTTCCAACGAAGGGGTTGTATCTGCCTTTGGGAATAAATGTCTCCGGCTGTTCAGATTTCTAGTTTTTCCTGTTTCAAGTGCGCTATATACCTCGACCGCAACCCCTTCCCTTCCGCTCTACGGCGCAGGGCACATCGTTGTTGAGGAATCCCCAACAGGGGGGGGGTCCTATTTGGGCTGAGAAAAATTTATTTTGATAGCTGATTTTTCTCGCTTCACGGACGTTGTAAAAAAGGGGGGCGTATTTATATTTCGTATTTACTTTTTGGACTTTTTAAGAGTGGTGGTTAGACTGTTCGTAAATTTCCTGTTTCATGTGTACTATATTTCCCCCTACAGCAAACAAAATAGGAAGGGGGGCGTATTGTCTCGTGGCTTTTCCTGTTTCACATGTGCTGTTTCAACCCCCCTCCCCCGCCCCCTTTCCCCGGCTGTATTCGATGGAGTCAGTGACAGTGGACCGGAGGGGGGTTCATATCGAAAAAACAAGGGGGATCGGCTACCGGTACAGTGCACTAAAAACCCAACGAGATCGATAGTGAATGTGCCCTGCTACGGCTTTTTTTTTGATGCTTTGGGCAAAAACTTGGTGGATTAAATAACTCTGCGGAAGAGAGTGAATGTTGGGTGAGAAAATTAGGTATGGGTGTACCATGCGGAACAGGGAGTGAGAAAGTCGTATTCGCGAGAAGAAAAAACAATTTCTTGTGAGAGGTAGGAGGAAGGCGTCGTGGTTTGTGAAATTTCCCAACCGACAGGCACCGTACAAGCAGCATCATTGTGCCAGCGACCCACCATTCAAAGGGCAGTGCTTGTAGTGTGAAAGATTTCGTTTCACATACGAGGCTTCCTAGTTTGTGACCATGCCGCGCTTCGGACTGCGCAACCTGAGAGGTACGCGTATGGATCCTGGTAATCGCGATGCAGGGCAAATTGCGCGACAGAACATTAGGTTGGTCATACTTTTGCGTGGGCGTTTGAATGCGCTACTCGCGTTGTGTTAGGAGCGACTAGGCAAAGGAAACTAAGTATATTCGATTATTGCAGTACTAAGCAATATTTGAATCGTACGCCATCTTTTGTGAGTGCCTACTAAAATACTGATACGTATTGGTCTGGTCGGAGCCTGATGCCGTTTGTCTCAGCGACTGCCCGGCGCCAATTCGAACATAGACCACCCGCGAACACGCTCGAAATCGTGGCGTGCGCTCAGGAGGGGACGCAAAGTGTCAATAAACACATCTTACTAAGGGTATGGGAGTAGATTAATGCCTGGCTTTGTCCGACATATGTGTTCTCTACCTTTGGCCGCAAGGCTATGAAGCTTAAGTTCTGGTTACAGGTACCCCTTTTTCCAAAAACTGATTATGACTACTTATTTCAGCCATATGATAAGAAATCTAAAGCTTCAAAAACTCCAAAGACCCCAAAGGTTATGAAAGCAGAAGTGGACACTGACTCGGACGATAAGGTACTTCAGAACTCTTGTTTCCATTTAGGGTTAAATTAAATGTTTCTTCACAGAATACTCCCCCACCGGAGAAGAAAAAGTATCGCTCGCCAAAGAAAATGCGGCCGATATCAAACAGGAATGCTCCGCTGAGCATATAATCCTTACACCGGTCGACCATGCGCAAAAGTTTGACGACTTAATGCTTGCGTCATCGGCAGAAGTGAGACTTCTGGATCTTCATTTACAATCACAAGTAATCTGAAGTCAAAAAAAAAGGGGAAGAGCCGTCGTCTTTTACTTCTTATTTGAATGTTTTTTTAGTGAGTTATAGTGCTGGCTCGCCGCAGCGAATCTTGGGGCATGTCGGGGAGGACGGCCTGAAGCCACCACGCTTTCTGTCAACTGCTGTCGCTTTAACCTATTCAGCAATTGGTAGGAAACGTGCTGGCATCGCGCCAAACCCGGCCACCTTGACACGTCCCAGCATCCACAGCGAAAGGACTGTATTTCACTTTCATCCTTCTTCGGTCTTATGAATTTAACTATTCTAGGTTGGAATCTACTGGCCCGCTGGCGCCTTCATGGAACTGCCGTCTTCTCGAGAATATCCTGATTATTATCAAGTTATTGAACACCCTATTGATATGAAAATTATCAGGGATAAAATTGAAAATAACAGGGTTAGTTCTACCCGATTTCTGCCAATTTTTTTGTAATCAGTTTTTTTCATGGTCATTTTCCAGTATGAATCCTCGGATCAACTAATGGAAGAGTTCACGGTTTTGTTCAACAACGCTCGACAATATAATGAGGCTAACTCGCAAATTGCACGCGACGCTGCGGTTTTGTTGACTATGGTCACTACAGCACATGCATCCGACAAGGACGCTCCCTATGAGAGTCCTCTCGCTTTGAAACAAAAGTTCGGGTGAGTCTCGATGGTTCCTTAGGACATGGAAATTTCTCCTTTTGACTTAGCAGTCTTTTTTACATTTTAAACATATTTTGGGCGCAGTTCGGCTTGGAGGGGGCAGCAAATGGAACGTCAAAGCCTGTACAGGCTACCTTGTGGAGTCCCGTAAATCCTTGTAACAAAGTGGCTTCCATAAACTGGTTCGCGGTTTCACAAGAGTTCATCCGATAGTTCACATGAAGTAGCAAAACGAATGAGCGAAAGCGCAAAATGTCCTTCTCAAGCCGAACAGTGCCCTATTTTGTAGTATTGATTGTTTGATTTTGGCTGAATTAACAGTGTTATTCGTGTGAATTCTGTTAAATACAATACAATTATATTTCTTGATTTTTCGTAACCCATGTGTTCCTCTAGTTGGCTCAAGACGAAACTACCTAAACCAATAAGAGGTGGGGCGAAGTCGGCAAACGGTCTGGTTAATGGCGCTGGTGGCTTCTCGGACGATGACTCTTCGAATTCCTCTGTTAGGTGAAGAAATCATATTAACCCTTACATGTGTTGTCCTTCTGTTGCATGCTCTTCCCAGCACTACCACTTTTTTCAAATTAAATTGCTTTATTTTTGCACAAATATCTCTTTGGTGAGGTTGCTTTTGATCAATTTTCCGTTTGAAGACTACTTGGGTGTTTGGTGCATTTTTCATTGAAGTTTTCAATTATGTTTTCGATATATCTGTTTTTAGGAACCTCGTTCCGACTCCTCCCCAAAGGGCCAGGGCTACTCCGAAAGTTGAAAGGAAAACTGAGGATATGATTACAAGGTTCTTTACCTTTATGGTTTTTTTTCCTACTTGACACTATTTATCTTTCAATGTCTCACTTCTCACTATTAGGACTGTGTCTTCATCGGAATTTGTCCACTGATGTTTATTAGACTAGAATTACCTAGCGGGAAGTAATTTTACCCTGTGAACGCAATACAACGCCACATTCGCTCGATGCGAAGGGTCTAGTGCCCGATCCATGGGTGCTGTAGCTAAACCACCTCGCATTACCAACATCGCTGAGAATTCGCCCAGGGTTACATTCAGCCGCTAAGAATTCTCCCCGAGATTAGTATTACCTCCTGAAATTTAGGAATCATTTGCTATTAAGGATCTTGTTCTTGGGAGACACCGGAAACATTCTCCTATCGTGTACCTTTTACCAAGTACATGAAGGGAGGAAAAGAAGGAAACGGGAAGAAAGTGCGGAATCAAAAAAGATGGTGAAGTGAGGCTCCATGATTGACAGATATCCTGGGGCGAAGCAAGAGCCCGCGTTCATAATCCTGAGGTGAGGTATACGACCGCGTTCAGCAGCTGAGGAGATTTGGGAGAACTGGCGTCCCTCGAAAACGCTGGATCGCCGAGTTTCCCCCTCCACACCTTCACCGCAGCGAATCTGAAGTGGAGAGAATAGAGTACGAAATCCGTAAAAGTCAGTAGAGAGGGAGTAATGTCCTAATGTCCCTGTTCCTTGAATCATCTTTCTTAACTATCGTTACTGTCGATTCTTCCTCATATGGTTCCAGTGTCATT